TTTCTTCTTCTTCCCCATTCTTCTTTATTCGGGTCGGCTTTGATTACCCTCAAACCAAAAACGATAATTGATTAACGGTAGGGCGTTACCTACGATCTGATGATGCAATAGTGATTCAATAAAAGATTTAGAGTTCGGAATTTCTTGATATTTACTCAAAACGGATTTCTCGTTAATCCAATTTCTTGGGAAGGGGAGAGGGTTAGGGTTTCCGGGGTCCTATTCGCTCCGAGTCTATTCACCACGTTTTTTAGTTGAATAGCCCACTGCACAGTTTTTTCAAGTCTTTCTGGTGCTCGTATTGTGCGCATTGCCACACATCCAGCTGTAATGGGGCTTGGATACGGTTCTGTAGCAGTTGAACTATTGACAAGGTAGGCTCTTCAAGAATATTGAATTAAGTGAGCCCATCAGATATGCTTCTGGCGATCCAATTGAGTCCTGGCTTCATGCTTTATTATGTCTGGATGTCACAACTTATATCCCTAGTATCAGCAGTCCACCTGATCCCAACAAATGTCATCTCTACTATGTTAAATCGAGATACACTTTTCTCTTATCACAAAGACAGTGAGGTATTTTTGCAGCGAATGATGGCTCTCTATGTTGCTTCTCACTACAAGAATTCAAATCTGAAAAGGAAGAAAAAAAAGACAAAACAGAACAAAAAACAAAATTGCTAGCCGGACGAGCAGCTCAAGGCCGCTCGCTGGGAACGAAATTCAAGATTAATGTGTTTAAGATCGTAACAGCTCTGATGCCATGTTAAACAAGTCAAAGAAATAAAGAAAATGAAAAAGGAGGCTAAGGTTTCATTAATTCTGCATATTGCAATTGAATACAAAAAGAAATAAAGAAAAGGAAAAAGGGGCTAAGGTTTCATTAATTCTGCATATTGCAATTGAATACAAAAGAATAGTTTAACCTAGAATCAAAGAGACCACATATAAACTAAATAAAGAAAATTGAAAAGATTATTCTACCTTTAATAAACAATAAAATAACATAACTATTTATTTCTTAGCAAGATGAATTAGACAGTTGCATAA